AGCCTCACTTATTTTGGTGCCGCCAGAGACAATTCCCGGAGAGTTAGGTGTTGCTGGATGACAGGCAGTACCTTTTGTTTTGAATATGTGTGAAAAGACGGGGAAAAGCCTGCTTTGTGCTTCCGCCTCTCAAAGCGAGCGCTTACCCTTTTGGTGTGCATGTGAGGTTTGGGATAAAGCAATCTCCGAGGATCTGTAGGTGAACGCTTGCTCAGAAGTTTGTGGGAAAGGAGAAGATGCATTTTACAAAGGGCATGCGAGAATCTCAAAACAAAAAACTGTTTCCGTTATGGACATAAAGTGATTAGGAACGTTTTCTACGCTTTGTAAGAAAAGAAAAGGGACTTTTTTAAGTGTTTCTGTTCTCCAGGAACTTTAACTTTAAAAACTTCCTGCGTTCCAATTCTGAAGCTGTGCCCTTGTTCCTGCTTTATTAGACAGTCATCTCCGGTATTAAATCGACATATTAAAACCTTCCCTGCCAGCTACACATACACCCACTCACACCCACACACATGCATCACACCGCCTCATATCACATTCATTAAAAGGAAAGAAGTAAGATAACACAACCACAAGCTGTGTTTCAGCGGGTACATTTGACTCTCATGTGCACGTAACCCGTGAAGCCTGGAGCTGACAAGCTTCTCTCTCTACCCTTGAATGTTTTCCATTCATTAACACTCATCTCATTCAGGAAATATGTCACATTTAGAGAAGTGAAGGTGAATGATGTGGAAAGGCCTGCAACAGTGAGCGGCTGCAGTGGGGGGGGGGTGATAGGCCGTCTCCTTCCTTCCTTTGGAGGCAATTGAGAGAAACGGTGAGGCGAATAAAGAGAGCTTGAACATGTTTCTTTCTCACAAATTTCACACCAAGTTTTCACACCTAACTGCTCTAGCAATGATACATTATTCAGTGTTTGCGCAGCCAGGCCCAATCGAGAACTGTATTGGTGTTTGAGCTATGGGCAAAATAAAAGACTAAAAGATGGTGACGTCCATTTGTTCACCTCACTCTGAACTCTAAAGGTCAGCGTGTGTGACCTTTTGGATGCTCTAATGTATGAACCAATTATTTAAACAACAACGCACAGAGACATGACATGACTTACTATTCAAGTCATGTTATCATACTCGTGAGGTCCACCTGCTGAGCATTGTTCTCCCCAGATTTTTCTAAGAAGCACATGGGATACAACAGTCCTCTGTTCGTGTCTTTGGGAGAACGGCACTGCATGAAGACAGCTTCAAATACATTTGTTTCATGTTCGACAGCACAGTTTCACAAGCTTTCATGATTACCACCAACTACAGGGAATGGGAGTTCTGAGGATATGTCTGTTAGCAATATGTGCTAACACATGAGAAATTATTTCCAGACTTTAACTGTGGTATTATTTGAAAAGTATTGCTCTAATGCTTCAATTCAAATGGTGCCATAGCTGTCATGGAAATAGTTACAATATTTTCGATTAGGTTATAGATTGTGTTGTTCTTGTTCTTGTGGCAGAAGCACACAATTAAACCCAAGCATGAACAATAACAATAGTCAAGGCATCAGGAGAGCAAACACTGAAACTTCAATGTCTACAGAATCATTAAATGTGTTCAAAACATTTTTTACATTAACAAAGGTTGAAATTAAAAAGGCTTGCTAGTGACAACCCTACATAAAATGATTGTCAGAAAACTGCCATTCCCCGCAGCATTAGTTGTTTTCTAGCTTATTGTTTTTGTTTTACAGGCCCCAGCTTGAATGTATTGCTCCAGTCTCACCAGTCTCATAAGCTGTTTTTTGGCAGCAGCAGGCATCTTCTTTCATCAAAAAATCTCTCATAGGCCCACTGTGCAGAACCTGGTCAGGACCAAACGGCAGATAGACCCAGTTAGTGTCTCGCTGGTGAACATAGTGGAGCATTTAGCAGCTAAAGAGCCACATATTTCCCTCAGGAGTTGGTTGAAGCACAGCTACAAAATGGATTTAGTAGGTTGGATTTTGAACTTGCTTTAAGAGAGGCTCTAATGTCTACTTGATGTGTAAATAGGCAGCGAACGCATTCTCCAAATCGTCTTTATGATTGTGTGTTCTGTTCACTGCCTGTTACACTGCGCCCAAGAGACTAAACATTTTTGCAGGTATAGTTTTATTTTGATCATAACTTACTTTGACAAATTTACAATTCTCCTCCCAGTGCTACCGATGTGTGCTGAATTATATTTTCCCATTGTTCTGATATTAGTACTGTCTGTTTCTTTGCTTGTGGTTCCTAATATACATAACAAAATGTATAATTCTATAGAGACAATTCTGTCATTTGAAACATTGGGATCAGTTCTTTCTACTTTATTTTATATGAAAGTACTTTTTATTATTAATTACTGCTTCTCTCAATGTTTACAGAGCATCCTTTGCACATTTATTTTGGGATCAACAGTCTTTGTTCTGCAGTAAAACAAACATCATTTAACTTTAGCAACTGTCAAAAGTCTCAGGATACTGCTTTGTGTAAGGTTACACAACACAGTTAAACTTATCCATGGGAACAATGACATTGGAGATGGTCCTTGTCCTTCCCAGTCATATAGCCTCATGTTATATGATGGATAGTTCCCCATGACTACTCAAGCCTCACAGGTAAAGTGTTTCCCTCTAAGCCAGAAGCATCTCTTGATCATTGGTCCATGTCTGCAAACCCTCGCCCACATCTCCTGTTCCCCTCCTCCCTGTCTCTCGCTGCTCCCAGAGGGGCTTCTGTTCGCCGCTGAGTGCCTCCTGCTTAATGCTTGATGTGACAGATCCCACCACAAGATGAGATTTAAAGAGAGAGGGGGACTGGGTGGGAGCTGCCACCATAACGGGTGTCATTGCAGCCAAGTCCAGACCGTCCCCCGAAACCCGACCACTGAAAGATTCATGAGGTGAGAAAGGGGGAGTGTAGGGTGAGGTGTGTGTGTGATTGCATCATGTGTGGGCCTCCCTTGTGACTGCTGTATTTTTAACCCTGACACGCAAGAGAGAAGCCGGGGGAGAGGGAGGGGGCAGTGTTTGTGTTTAAGCTGAATATACACACACACACACACACACACACACACACACACACACACACACACACACACACACACACACACACACACACACACACACACACACACACACACACACACAACTAACAGCAATGTTAATCATATAAGCAATACATCAGAATTACACATGCATACACAGGCCTGGCTTCTAATGATGGAAAACAAAGCTGGGTGTGGCTGTATTGCTGTGTGGGGGGGGGGGGGGGAGGCAGTATGGGTATCCCCAATGGAAAAGCCCTGAATACAACCTCCCCACCCCCTCTCATACCTCTCACATGATTAAGAAGTGTCTAGAGGCATGGTAGGGCAGAAGGACGATTAATAATAGCTGTATGTTTTCTAAACTCTGCACAGAGTGACCAGGCTGTTTTTGCAGCTCTGATTGAAAGAGATCATACAATTCTTCCCTCCGAAAGCTCGTAGCAAAACAAGCCAGGGACGCAACTCTCTTGAAAAATTAAGATCAATTGTAAAACCGCTTGAAGACACTAATGGGGAGATGAGAAGTGCAGTGATGCTATCCATAAAGCAGCGATGACGCAGCGCTCTGAGGGAGGAGGAGCCTTCTTTTATTGATTCAGGCATTAATGTACACTATGTACAAATTGGCTCAGGGTGGCCCCTCATGTGAAGCCTACTGCTGCGCAAACAAATTGGTGCATTTGTCTCAATATCCACTTGTGGGCGTATCAGGAGGTGAATATTTATTTATGAATGCATTTTTTCTTCATGTCACCTGACTCGCTCGCTGCATGCATCTTTTGTTAAGCCAGAAGAAATGTCATGGGGGGAATCTCTGCTTGTCAAAAGCACTAAGCCGGCGTTTTCTTCTTGACAGCTTGAGGAAGCAAAGGGGGAAGGGAGGGATGGATGGATAAAGAAAGAATGAAGACGTCCGATATGTCACACAGGTAGCTCAAACTCTAGCATAGCAACAGGGCAACTCCCATGAATCGAAGGTGTAAAGTCTGCTGCAGTTTTCTTTTGGCCAATTTGAAATTGTAATCATATTTACCACCTGTGCAGATATTTGTAATGAAACAGTGTGAATATGTGTGTCCTCTGTTCTGCAGGATGTGTTTGTCTGTGAGTGTGTGTGCACAAAGTTGTAATGTAAGACCCCGTCCCATTGCAGAGCCTGCTCAAGGTCTACCTTTGTTGAGCAAACACACACACACACACACACACACACACTGTTTGGCTGATGAGGATCAGATCACACACACGCTGCCTCGCCACACCCATCCTCCTCTCCCGCGGGACACAGCTGCACTTCCAAGGCCAAGGATGGAGCGGGGGGGAAGCCGCGGGGCTGATCCTGGGGAGCTCTGCTGCTCAGCGCAGGCTCGGAGCTTCTCTCCTCGAGCTCCTTTGAGACGTTGAATGGTTCTTCAGTTTGAGTTACAGGTGCATTTACCCAAATGTATTCACCCTTTTTCTCTGTTTCAGAAACCGTACCTTTTAAAATTCTAAAACCAGTTGGAAATGTCATGATGTGGTGAGTATTGACCAATAAAAACACACCTTTTTGCTCATAAACCAATTTTACCTCCTATTCCTGATTCTGCACAATACACTGGTGCTTTGAGTGTCTCACTTTCTTTTTCATTTCTGATGATTAAGCCTCGGAAAGATTAATTTAACTTGATAGGAGCTCAGGTCGACATCGCCCTCAAGAGAGCAGAAGCTTGTTGCTGTGGTTGCTGGAGGATGTTTCACTTTATTTCCTGTAATGTGATTTTTGTGTTTCAGACAAATATGCGGCCCTTGCTGATCATGCCCACTCAACTTTTAAAGGTATAGCCTACAGCTTCTTTTTTTTGATGTGGCAAACAAAACACCAAAACCTCTCTCTGTTTTACATTATCTATACATTTGTATGTGTTTCAAAGATTAGACATTCATTAGAAAATGTTGTTGTTTACAAAATTTATTCATACAAATCTTACAACACTTTCATAACATTGAGAAACGTAAAACCCCATATAAGGACTCCTGTGTGTATAACGATGTTACTTGTACTAAGGTTCACTTTTTAAACACATTGTTTTCAGATAGATAAGAGATTAAACATGGAGGTAAGGCGTTTGGCGCTTTCAGAAATATCAACAACAGGCATTTTATATGATCTGACAACATCTTGGTCATGTTCTGAAACCCTTTGAATCTTTATAGTGATGCACAGAGTTCTAAATAATATGTCGGGGCTATTTTCTGATTATTAAATTACTGACCAATATCAAAATAATCAACAACACCTCATAGTCAACAGTAACAAACACTGGTCATTGCTCACAACTCTCACAGACACTGAACAACACCCCAATCTCATGCACACACACACACAACACACACACATTGCCTGCACCATCAACATACACATTCTATTCTTGTTTTTTTTACTTTTATACTCAGTAAATCATTGGCCATGCTTTAAAAAAAAAGCCTAATTCTACTACTCTAGGGGCAGACTAAACTGAGCGGAAAAGGAAGTTTCAATATAAGCTAATGGACTGCAGCATTGTAGGGCCACTAAAATTGCCATCTGTCACTTGTGGCGAATTTCTTATATCGTTTTTTTTCTCATGTCGAAGCAAGGCACCAAAGCCAAAAAGCTGTTTCAACTCAACATTCGCATTCAGTCTCTCATTCACACAAACACGCACACACCAATAGTCACACATCTACATCCGCACACAGACACACTCACACATGCCCACCAAGCAGCTACATCCGCACACACGTAGACACAAATGCACATCTATATCCGCACACACACGTTCACACAAAGCCTGTAGAATAAAGCCAGATTGAAGGAGTGTATTGATAGGTTCTATGGGGGAACACAGGCCACTGATTGGATTGCAGGGGTGCATAAAGCATTTGCATAATATCGAATAAATACATGAGATATCTCCCTAATATAAGTCAATGGGAAGATCCCGCTCCTTGAGGGCTGAATTTCATCCTCCTCCATAGTGCGAGAAGGGAACTCACATATTGTAAATCTGATGCCAGAGTGATGGGAATTCAACACCTGATATTTTCTATCAGACTCCTTGACCCTGATGTAACTTTGGCAGGTCAGACACGCCTCTTTTTTTCTCTGTTTCCAGGTGCGACAACCTCTCTCAGGCTTGTGGGTGCCGTAACCCTTCTTTTATGTAACTTAGTTTTCTCTCTTTCACTCACATTATCTCTTCATCTCCATGCATCCACTCTCCTCGTCTCTTTATCACATCCTCACTTCACAAACCTCGGTAGACATCCCACGCAGATCAGCTTTGTCTTAACAACAAATCACAGCACTGTCAAATCAACTATATAGCACGGCGATCTAGAAGCAAAAATAATCTTTTTCTAAAACGCTACCAGGACAAAGGCAATCAGCAAGAAGGGGGTCTAGTGTCTTGTCTCATTATATCCACAATGACAGCAGCAGGGGAGTTAACAATTCAACAAGTCAGTGCAGTTCCAGTTTCCACCACCTCTAGCCCTCCTTGTTCACATTTCCAACACATCTGGGGGGGCGGGAGTGGTGCTGAAATATGCTTAGCACAGCCCATCTCCCAAATAGCACAATCCAAAAAAAGCACGATGGCATGCATGCAGTTTCTAAGCAAAAGTAGCAAAGGTGTCAGTTTCCACATGCACCAATAAATAAGAAGAGTTTAAATATTCCTCACTGGAACTCAGATGCTACCGTTCCTAACTCCACCTCTTGTCACAAAATAAAAAATGCTTCATTTCCTGCATCTTTACATGTTCTGGGTCCATTCTGAATATTTGGAGTGCTGCCCAAATACAATCAACAGTAGAAGGACAATCTTCTGAATAATCCTGTTGACTGAGCACAGACAACATTGAGATGGATATGTGCACTGTGTAATTTCTATACTGTACATAATACACACATATGGAACATTCTTAACACAGTCCTATCGAGAACGTCTTTTCTCCCTACAGTATAGGACTTGTTGAGGCAAGTGAGCAAGCAGTGTTTTCCGCATACTGTTAACAGCAAATTGAGTGCTTTTGATTTATCTTTAGGAAAGGCTATAATGCCCTTGGAAAAGCCTGCAATTACATTTCTGTTTAAAAGAGGGTCGGATTTTACCACCAGTTACATGAATGGTTGTGTAAGTCAATCAGTTTTTCCATCAAATGGGAGGCTGTTCAACAAAAGCCGTCTGAATTCCCCTGGAGGGGCAGCAAGCTAAACAAACCCACAGACTCCCATTAAGGGAGTGAGGAGGGGGGGGGGGGGGCAAGGGCAACATCTATCATTGTATAAGCCGGATATGCCTCACATAGCATGCTCACTGCTTCTTTGGGCCTGTTTGGAATACAAACAACACTAAAAAAATAGAACGTTGGTTACAAAAATAAGTATAACATTCAATACTTTGATTGTCTTTTTAAAATCTATTTATTTTCTGCATATGTAGATGACCTTTGAAGATTTCAAGCGCATAATATTGAAGGTGCACAATTAACTTTTTTTTTGTACTAATTTCTTCTTTTTTTTTTTTTTTTAAGTCATTTTGTTTTGTTTTTAACATCTGAACATGAAAATAAAATATTGGTCCACAAAGTATAACTGTGCGGTATCAAGTGCTTTTGTACAAAAAGAAAAAAAACCGATATTATTATTAAAATATTCATTTTAATGGCTTTACTTCATACATAAATACATGTTGAAAGAACACAGGCGCAATCCACTGGTTGGTCAGATATATTTGAATGACTTTGATTTAACGACTGGATGTATATACACAGGAGGGCAGCTTGGCGCTTTAAAACGCTACAAATAGGCAAGTCGGCGTCCTTTGTTCCTAACTCTCTGTCTGTACCTTCTTCCCAGAACCGCTGCCAGGTATTTTTGCACGGCCATCTGCTTTCTATAGCGACTGTAGCTGTCGGTGAAGATCCCATCTGAATGTCTTTTGGATAGGGGCTCTGACTCTTCCTCCATGCTGTTGTCTTCACTGAAAAAGAACAAACGAAATAACATTAGTTAAATCTGAAGCCTTCCACTACTCCACAGATTTCTGCTGTTTTTGATTGGACAGCTTAGCTTTGATAATTTAATGTTGTTTAATGTAAAGTTGCCTATACAATCATTAATACATCGTAATTTGGCCTTTAGTAGTATTGTTTTCGTTTGGAAAAGAGCGGCAAGCAAGACAGTGTAAAAGAAACAGTGATTTTAGGCGTTTTTACAAAAATTATACATTATTAATTTGCAGCCAATTGGAAATTCTGACGCATTTTCTTCTTCATTCAAACTTAGGAAATCAATGTATGGATGTATCACATTTAAATTGAAGTGTATTTTAGCCTCAGAAAAAACTGCCCCTCGGGAGTGCCACAACAAAAACAGAAACAAAATGATTTTATTTTTTTTATGGAGAGAGATACAAATAAATGAAAAGAAACCACACAATGAAAGACAGTGATGCAGCAGCCGTGTGCAAACGGAGAAACATAAAAGATGATGACTGCAGGTGAACGCTTATAAGAAATGCCTGCTTACCCTGCACGAATTGTCACCAGAGAATGCAGATAATGTCTCGCTGTTAACTGACCCAGGATCTCCCTCAAGGCTCTATCTAATTCTTCCTCAGCATGCCTTTCTGGTCTAGATGATAAAACGCCAAAACACATAGATCATCAGTGACTAAAAAAGCGCAGACAAAATGATCAAAAGTAGCCTAAAATGTCCCCACCCACCCTCAGCTCCAATATCACATCAGGTGAAATTAAATCGGAGCCTTCTTGCACAAAGACTACCCTTGCTCCTTATTAACAGTATTTTTGAACCAACATTTTAGGCTACTCGTAATGAAAATAACACTGAACAAATAACATGAGGTACTCTGGGAAAAACAAAGCAAGCAAACATTATCGCAAAACAGCAAAAAAGTCATTAAAATGGAATCCAGATCGAGGCTTTAGCTGCGATCTGAAAGCACATGTACCTTTTCTCTGGTGGGTAGTATAGCGTGTATGCGTCGTCGTTTAGGGATGGTGGGCTTCGTATAGCAATCTGATCGCCATCAAAGCCCATGTCGGATAATGAATTCCCATCCTCATCGAAGGCGTCGTTTTCAAGTCTGCAAAAGGGAGAGCACTCATCACAAATCTGATCTGTGCACAAGTGGGACGCAACAGTGAAAGAATGCCAAAATGTCTGCATCAGTTTCTAAAATCACTGGGAGTTTAACTGCATTAGAGATAAGGGAAGAAAGGGACAACATGTACAATCTGAAGGTGTTTTTGCAATAAAATCAGCATACGAATTATTTCAATTTTGATTAAAAAACAAATAATATTCTTAAATGTAATAAATAAAGCTTTATTTTATTGTTTCATTAAATATATATATTTTTAATCGGGAATATAATATGGTTTTTAATTCCAATTAGCTGCTACTGCTCTCAACACAGGCTACAGCCTCATTAATTATTTACGAATCGAAACAATGGGTGTGAAAATTATCACATTTAGAGTAGGCGTGGAGCAAAAAAGGTGTTAAAAGAATGCCGCAATTAGCAGTGTTTAAAATATTAGAAATATATTAGAATCAATAAGAGCAACGCCCAAATGATGAATGTTTTTCACAATGAAAAAAAAGAATTCATCTTAAATGGATAGAGCTCTCCTATTCGTTTCGCCTCGCCTCTCCTTGGTGACGCCAGTCCACCGTCATCCCAAGAGCTATCCATTGCCTTGACTGTACTCTCATTTTTAATCAGTGTCCCCCCGGACAGAAACCTCTACGCTATTTCCATAATCATTTTCCACAGAAGACCTGTATACGTGTAAATGACTGTATTTCCTTTTGTTATTCCTCTCAATTAAGTGATTACAAATTGCGAAAAAGTAATTTTAGCGCAATTACGCACAGGTATTTGATATAAAAGTGCCCAAATCCAAATATTCGAATTAAATATATCATTATTCACGATGCAAGCTGATTCTTGAACAATAATGATCGGCAGAAACATGGATAAAATACTACAATCAGGTCATAAATACTGATGAAGCACGGTTACCTACCTAATCTTAGGGTAACTTAGTCCGATAGGTGTGCAGAAGACGCTGTAGTGCATTAAGATTCCGTAGACGAGCAAGATTAAAGTCGCTTTACTCGAACTGGCCATGCTGTTAGAAAAAATGAAAAAACAGACGTAACATTAAACAGGTTAGTCAGTCCTATAGAAACAACATGCTCTTTGTTCTGTCATATTCAACATGCTGTGCTACTTCTCTGATCTACAAACTACAAAGCTGGATCGAATAATAATGAACATAAACTACAAACACAACGTCCGTTTGCCAGAACAAAAAAAATCCGTAAAAGTTGAACTGGTATTGAATCCTTTGCATGCAGCAGGAAAGTAATTACAATTATAAGCAGATCTCAATGCAGTGCATACAAAAAAAGATAATTTCCATTACTTTCTCTCGCTTTCCATCAATAGATGTATCCGCAGATAAAGCACATACCTATAGCAGGGGAGCAGGGAGGCTGTAGGATGTGATCCGGGTGTGGTGGTGAGTGAGAGGAAGAGAGACGGTTTCCTTCTCACGGCACTTCGTTCCCTGGCTGAAGCGCCTCCGTCGTCTCCTTATGTTCCCCTCGGTGCAGCCTATCTCACCTTCACACACAATGAATGGCACTCAAGCAGACGCAAACAAACCCGGTGTGAAAGTGCACTGTGAGCTCCTCTGCATATCGCTGCTCTAAACTTTGTCCTGTGCTGTGATTGCCTTGGATTTTTATCTATGTATCCTAAGCCTTGCCCCCCTCCCCTCCTCCTCTTCCTCCCTCCAATATGTCACATTAAGGATGCTATAGACGTCATCAAGTTTGCCTCCCGGAATAAAAAAAGTACAGTTCCTTCCTCATCGATGCATCCGTCACCCTCAACCCGCCCCC